TTTGGGATTTAGTTTTAAATTGATAAATAATAAATTTAGTGACCGAATATTTGGATTTGGGGACAAAATATGAAGTCTGACTTACTATCGGTAGTCAAACTTTTTCAAATTTTGGGGTAGTTTACAGATGCGCCGTAATGATCATCTTTATATTCGCCCACTAAATTAACGACACACGTATTAATACAACATACAACTTATACAGCATACAGCATGCGGCGCTTCTACTTATACGCCAAATATGCCTACCTCCAAAATTCTAAATGTCTGCACCTCTAATTAGCATCCTAAAAGACCCTAATATTGACCTAACTCTAAAGCTTGATTTTAACTTTACAATTGGAGATAAAATTTCTATAGATTACAACATTTAAACATATAGGCTAGGTGCTGAGAAAAGGGATGAAATTGATAAAAAAAAAAAGATTTTCAGAAAATGCAAACTTCAAGAAGCTATATTGCAAAATTTTATTTATATAACTACTTTTGTGACTTAATTGAAAAATAATTCTAATTTTATTTTAAATTGATTTATATAAAAAATCTTTTGAAAAAATTATCAATTTTGTCTCTTTTCTCATTACCTAGCCTATATATAGTTGTTAATTTTACCTTGGTGAATTCCAGATAAACTCAAAAAATAAATTAATTAAAAATAATAAATTAAAAAAAAATAATAAAACTTTTATAAATATTTTTAATTATTATTATATTGTTTTTCAGTTTAAAATAATTATTTATTAATATCTTTATAAATATTTACTAATTTAAATTATTTATAAATATATATATATTTACTATATAAATATTATTGTATTAATATTAAAATATTACTATTCTCAAAATTTTTGTAATATTTCTGTGGAAAAGCCACAGTAAACGGCTAGTTATTTATAAAATAATTACAATTTTTAAAGTAATCAATAATATAATTACAAGTTTTAATATAATCAATATAGGTTTTAAAATATTTTTTAAGTAATATAAATTACTTAAGAATTTATATATTAACTCTTGTAATTTTTCAAAATGGTTCAAAACCTAATAGAGTGCTACTACTATCTATATTCTTCCAAGTTGCATATGCAACATTCAAACACTTGTCTTGTATCTAGTAATCCAATACTCTATTAATTTCAAGAAAATTCGGAGCTACTGTCCCTGCCACATCCAATTCTTTAGCTTCTTTTATGATAGTTGTTAAAAATTGATCATTGATAAATTTATCCCAAATTCTTTCTGGTGTATTTACAGTGTTCATGACAAATAAGATTTCCACACCGATCATGTTTGTATATCCAGAATTTTTTTTGCTTAGGATCAATTTCTTATACAAAATCATCTTCATAATAATTACTACATGTCATAGAATCCTTTTTTCTCAATAAAAATTCTTTAAAAATTATCTATTTTTTGCCTTTAAAATGGTTTATCTTTTTATACAAGTATTGATTGGTGAGTTGATATACTTCTCAAAATAATATTTGTAAGCCTTATTATTCAAGCAAGCCATTTAACTTGTATATTTTTTCAATATCTTCTACATGAGTTCTCATCCTTGTCAGAGGTTGACAAAGTAATCTGTAAAAAGATTACATACTTCTGAAAGCTTCATGTCGGGCATTATTTGATAATAGAACACTTTGATTCTTACTATCGAATTGTTTTCTTGCATTGACTACATCATCTATTTTCTATTAGAGATAAATAGAAAGACAAAAACTTATTAAACCTTTGAATTAAATTGCCAGTAAATTATATATTCATTTGTAAATTCAATTACCTTTTCAATATCAGTTAAGACTATTTTAAATAAACATATCGGGCAACATTTTTTGCTTCTTCAGTATAATCGTTAGGTCTAGCCACAACAAAGACTCCAAATGGCATTATAGGATGTCTAAAATATAACAATTTATAGCAGACCACAAATGTAATCAAATGCCTCAGTTTACATTCATGAATAAATGAAATTAGAAATGCTGGCATGATAAATAATATTCGTAGAATTCATGAAATTAACTACACTATGAACTTATGATATGGAGGCTAGTGATTCAAGCTGATTAAATTTTATGGCTCAGCTAAGCCTCTAAATTTTTATCGGCTTAGACACTTACGGTTAGTGATTGAAAGCTACATCAATATAACCTTTTTCATTTATTTAAAAAATTTCGAATTTTGTTGAGTTTATGGATAACAAATACATCGAAGAATAAAATAATCAATAAAAAATTATTTAAAGCTATATACGATACGACATATATACGTACTAGTGATGCCGACTAAAAGTTTTATCATCACTATGTAAGTTTTAATACGCATTGTAGTTAAAACTGTTTAGTTAAAAATTGATTCAAATTAAACTATCGCTATTATCAATTCAAACTATTATAAAACGAAAATTTAGTGGAAAATTTTTAGACATAGTTCGTACAGTAAATATAATCATAACAGCATACGAACGAAAAAACTCTCTATCCTAGAATAATTTTATGAAGATCGAAGAATTTGGCTTACAATTAGGCGTACTGATTGAATCGATAGAATTTATGTCAATTTTGTGGATACTGTTATTTGATTTCGGAGATTAGAAAAGAACTTGAACATCAGATTAATGGAAGAATTATGGTGTTACGAAAGCCTCAATCTTATAATACATGTAATTTTCAGTAAATCGTTATATACAGTATAAGTGACGCCAAGGGAAAATGGGACATCGGTTAATCATTGATTATTTAAATAAATTATCAATGATTTCCCTCGGCGTAGGGAACAGGGTACAGAGGTTTTGGCATGCCTTTTACTAAAAAATTTGCATATGTAAAAATTGGCTTATTGGCCCAGCCTTTAAGCTAAAGCTGTGCCCTGAACCCTACCTAACTTGGCGTCACCCATATAAAATACTAGCTTTACGAAAGTTCAGCCAGCAATAATGTATTCATTCGATTTAGATATGATCCGAATTACGCAATATTACACTTCTAGGCATGAGCTAATATGACAATTCTATTAATTTATCTTCAAAAACCATACTACAGTAATTTTTATAATATAAATCCACTTCTATTTTTACTTTAGCAATTCTGATATATTTATAGTTTCTGAAATCGAAATTAAACCTAATCTAAACCGACATCAGGCAAAGGTAATAGAAATATGAACTTTGAAGCATTGAATATTGTTGACGAGGCTTTAGGGATAACAAGAATAGTTGGCTTTAAAAAAACTACTGTATTCAAAACTACAAATGCTAAATGTTAATATAAATTAAAACAATGATCAAAAAACTTTCAGCTCTTAGTTAATTGTTTTATCGCAAGTAGTGGGAGAATTACCGTAAATTCTCGAAATAGCGGGCATGGGCGTTATTTTGAATATTGGCCCGAATTAAATTTAGTTCGGGCCAAAATTCAAAATAACGCTATTTCGAAATGACTCGACGTCCGATTTCAGATAAAATAAGTGATGTATTTATTTCGAAAGAAGCAAAGTGTGAATTTTATTTTATATACAATACTTACATAATCGCTTAACGGTGAATGTTTATCAAAAAAAAGCCAATTTTATCACCGACTACGCCTATTTAATTCTGATTCGGGAATTCTAAAAAAGAAAATAGATTCTTTTAAACTCACTTATTTTTGAAAAAAGTTGATTTTTGAAACCCCATAGTATACAAAGTTTATTTATAAACCTATGATGTAGTTAGTTTATAATTTTATCATACCTTCTTGATACATAAATTTACATTTAACAAACTTGATATCAGTATTGAGTATTATGATTAACCGATTGATAGAATTATCAGCCAGTCAGCTAAGAAGCTAAGCGGCTGGCTAAACGGCTGACTAAATTAGCTTGGCATACTAGTGAAGGTGTATCATATATAATTGAAAGCATAACTAAATTAATAATAATAATAATAATAATACAGAATAATACGTATACAATCTTTTTTTGAGATCCGACTATTTGTTCAGATAACGGATTTTATCCGAAAGATAATCGGATAAACCGGATAATTAAAAATTAATATTAACAGTCAACCAATGGAGGGTAACCGGGTAACCCGCATAATTAGTAAAATTCGGGTAATCCGCTCGTACGGATAGTGTTCCATCTCTAATCTTTTTATATAATTTTTAATTAGAAATTTGCATAATTAGATTATTAAAAATATATAGGTTATAATTTATCATAATTATAACACAACAGGGTGAAACCTGAGTTGTGATCTCGCTATGATCATCACTGGTAGTGAATTACATAATAAAACACAATCAAACGTGGATTTCATCCTAACCCGATATACGTAGCGGATTTTACTAACTCGCAACTCAGGTTTTACTCTGTTCTACGTATTAAAATTATTATGGCTGAAGCTGGAAACTTTAAAAAAATTTTTTAGCTTTGTTAGTATATAGTTAGATTGGGATTTAGGGTTAGTTTTGATAGGGTTCATACTGTAATTTTATAATTTATATTTTTAAAAATTATATATATATATATATATATTGGGTGTTCAAAAGTACTACGTATACACGCTCTCTTTTTTAGATGACCTTATATACTGTAGAAATTATACAGATTTTGCATAAATAAAAATACCTGATATAATTTTTTAAGTCTTGCAAAATAAACACATAATGAACTAACACTTACAGTACGTATTAGTAGATAGAGTATTATATATATATATTTATTAAAAAATTACAATATTATCGAAAACCCATATACAGTACAAGATCCGAGTCTAGTATATATACTTTACCAAATTTAAACTATATAATAAAATTTGCGGGGTTTTTTTATGGATGTGTGTTTGATAACTAGGTGTTTATATACTCTGGTTTTTTTGTATTTTACCAAATCTTTATTCTATATTGTAAACCCAGTTATAAGTCTGATATCTGGAGAAGTCTTGTATATGAAGCTTATAGTAATTTATAAAATTGGTAATAATTGTTAATTTATTAATTTATAATTGATACTCTAAGTAATATCTATATTATACATAGTATTTTAAAAATTTTATAAAAATTTTATTAATAAACAAATAAAACATGAAAAACTATATTTAAGATTTTAACAAAAAAAGATTTATGTAATTTTATCTAACTTTAAACTATAAATCTAACTTTAAATCTAAGTTTAAACTTCTAACTTTAAATCTAACTTTTAATTATAACTCTAATTTTGATTTTAATTTATAATATACTGTATACATAGTTATTTACAGATTGTTTTTTAAGTAATTTAGCTAAGTATTAATGAATTTTATCTATTAATAAATCTAAAAAATTACCAAATTTAATTATAAAATTTTAATTAGTAATTTAAATTTTATACGTAGCTATTATTTCTGTAACACACAGAAATAGGAATAATGGCGATATATAGTATATATGTAGAATAAAAATAAGTATATGTATATGTAAAATTATATATATTTTTTTATCTATAACAGTCGATCAAGATGTCACACATAAATTTTTATCATATGATCTTCATAAATTATACAAATTGATAAGATCACGTTTTTAGAACTTGCACTTAAAGTCTTAGTTATAATACATGACTTTCTTAATACAAAAAAGTTGCCAAGGTTTCAACGAATCAGACGGTATAGAGATTGTAAAAAATTAACTTCACTGTGCAATAGGCACCCCCTTCAAAGGTAGGCAATGATTTTGTCTTCTTCCACATGATTCTTTTCGAGTTTGCAAGATCTTAACGTAAAAAATAGTTTATTAGGTGCGCATGAGTGAGAACTTTCTGTGAAATGCATCTTCAAAAGAAGGGTAATTTATGAAAATGTGGAGAAAATTAAGGAAAACCATTTCACTATATATAGATTGCGATTTTTGCTAAGGTTTTTTTATTTTTTCTTTTAGTAAAAATAATATTGCAAGTTTATTAATATGTTCGAAGTAATTGTTATTAATTTTTTTTTTAATTAACAGTTATACAATTTATAGTTCTTCAGTTTCTTTAGTACTAGTACTATTTTTTGATCTTTTATATCGGTTATACCACCGATTCTTAATTCATTTTGTTGTCCAATAATTATATAGCAACAGCTCTTCCACTAGCTTATCAACAAAGTCTCCAGGCAACACAGTAGAGCCTTTATATTTCTCAAGTTGTTTTCTTCTTCAGGTGTAGGTTTGTGTACTGTATGTTGCTTTCGAGGCTTGGATCTTGAAGATGAATTAGTTTCAGAAAACGGATTAGACTCAAATTGTAAGTCTTGGTTTATTTCATTGACTTCCATGTCATATAATTCTGGAGTATACATGGAACTGCTACTTATTGCTTCTAGATTTATTGTTTCTAGATTTATTGTTTCTGTTTGGTTAGCATTTATTTCACCTTTATTTTTTTTTGCTATTTTCATTGGTATTAGATCCAGTTCATCACGTTTCACTTTTACTTTGACAGCTATGTTATTAATAATTTTTGTAGCAACTTTGTTCATTTTATTTATTCCTGATTGGTAACAGTGAAACATTTGATGGTAACCAGTAGTTGTCAATTGCATTGTTTCCACAAACAAAGTATTTAATTCTGGCTGTGAGTTGTTTAATGCTATTTTAAGCTCATTAATCAATTTTTAAAGAGCTTCTTGATGATCTTTAACAGCTCGTGGGTTTTTACTCAATGACCGATCTTCGGTGAACTCTGATATTAGGAAGTTAAGTCATTCATTTTCTGTTTGTGCCGATTTGATATTTCGTTTTAAATTTTCTAAATTAGTTTTATGCCCAATCATATTTTCCTTTATAAATTTCACACCAAATGTTTCTAAAGCCTCATCATAGCCGAGATTATTTCCTTTCTGAGTTAGATTTATTGAATGCACTGTCTGAAGGTCTTGAAGAAGTTGTGGGTTCCATTGAAGCTCTACCAAAAATCGTGCCGCAGACTCAGTATACCTTAATCTTTTTGTTATTGGGAATAAAGTAGCAAATGCCATCAAGCTACACGCTTGCAAATCGAAATTTGCCATGCGAATTCCTAGCTTGTACAATTTTAAGTATCCTGCCCATCAGTAAAAGTTATACCAAACTTTTAATAAATTATTGTCTTTTGTAGGAATTTCTTCAATAGAAATATTATTTTCTTGCATATAAATATGAAGTACAACTCTAACGGCTGTCCAAATAAGCTCTAGCACCCGGAATATCGATCGATAATCAACGTTTTGCTCAAGTTTATCGAGAAATTTGACGCCAAGTTGGGCAGCAAGCCCAAAAAGCCCATACCCTAAAAAGGCTACAATTAATACACTGCACATTGTTTTGTTTGTATGCCATTGTCCCAGAATACAACACACTTTTTGTTCTTCATTCTTGTAATCTCTCATGCAACAATATATCGCTTCATCATATACCAAATTTAGCACACCATTCTCTGTATAACCAAAATCTTTGACATACATGTCTACAGCTTGATAGACATTCTCGTTTTTGCTTGGAGCCTCTCCAGCCTCAAGAATTACAATGTTCGGGGGTGCCAAAAATAATACCGATTTAATATTTTCTTTAAGAGCTGTATTAACATTTTCAATATTAAATTGTTGTTCTTGATTAACTAGTTGACTAAAAATCTCATCTATTTTTATATTCCATGCTTCCATAATAGGGCTTATACCAAAAAGATTCTGAATTTCAAATGGTTCTAAGTTGAGAAGCTCCGGGTGCTTAAATTGAAAAACCATCCGTAGCGTTGCATGTGCAGTAGCGCAAACCACTTCATAAATATTTCCATACTGAAAAGTCTTGTCTTTCATATCAATATTATTGATAACTGCAAGATTTAAAACATTCAGATTTGTATCTATATCAAGGAGCCTTAAACAAGGGTTTGTATTTGACATTTGTTTTTTTTGAATACTTGTTTTGTAGATTCTAACATATGCTACAACCCAAATAGTATGAAGAATTTTGTACAAAAATCTTATCATTCATGGTTTTCGGCAAAGAGAAGAAAGCACATGAGTAAACCATATTTTCCAATTAGGAAAGGCAATGGTAAGTAGTACCAAAGAGAAGAAAAGAGAATGTAATTTGATTTTATTTTCGTCCAATTGTGGTGGCGACAATCCTCGTTCTCTTTGTTTTCTAGCTAATATCTTATTTTTATTCTCCATTAGAGTTGAAATAAGGCCAAAAAAAAAAAGTTCACAAAAGATAATGGCATAGCATTGTAATATTCGTCCAGAGATTCGGGCTCTTCAAGTAAAGGTAATCTCTGTTTGAGTTCAGATCATTCTTGTAATATGGAATAAGCAAGTATTTTTCCAAAATCGTTATATGCAGTAGGTTTTAATTGTGTTGCTTGCTTTTTTTTTACTAATATTAATTTTTTTAACAGCAAATGCTGTTTTAATTAAAAAAAGGCTAGAACTTATAGACTCCGAAAAAATGGTAGGAGGCATAACAATGAGATTCTCAAGAGTACTAGAAGTAATACTGCCAAGTAATTTGGAAAGCTCTTTTAATAGCTTAACCTTTAAAGAATTATTATTTGATTCAGCGACCTGCTCGATCCATTTGTTAAACAACTTCAAGGCAAGTGTAATATCTGTATTATGCTCTCCTCAGTCTAGGCATGTGATTGTTTTTTTTCTGATTTCCGGTTGAACATGCAAATAGCCTCCATATATAATGAAACAGTTCGTGCAAATAAATTGAGGTCTATCATTAGCTAATAGTTCAGTTGATAGATCTTTATATGCAGTAATTGCCAGACAGTTATATAATCCACGGCATGGAACTTGGACAATGTGCCCACAAATTATTCGGGTATGTAATTTACATGTTGTGCCTCTTGTAAAAAAATATTTTATTTTATTACAGAAAAGACAGCGACGTGATGTAATGATGCTCTCTTCTGTTGTTAGGTCGTCCCTTATGCCCGGGTGTAAAATTTTTAGATCATAGTTGTAATGTCACATACAAATACCTAGTTTTGAGACCTCGTTCTCAGCTTCTTCTTCTACAGCTTGAGAGTTGACTTCTCATATCCCCGACAGTTGATTTATACTTTGAACCCCAACATTATTGCATCTTTGAATTATGGTTGATTCATTGCTAATTTCATTATTAATAACAATATATTTTGTAAATTTTGTAGTGCATTCTATAGAAGAAAGAAGTGGCATGTCAATTTTCTCAAATATCTCCATCTTATTATCGTTACTCTCAAGCAATTCGTCATTTTCGAGCAATTCGTTATTCTCAATTAATTCATCATCTATTTCTTTAGCAGATTTAATTATTTCTCTTACTTTTTCATATGAATGCCAATTAAATGTGAAAGCGCCATCATCCACGTCCACTAACTCTCTATCAAAATCGGGTTGATTTTCTTTTTCAAGGTCTAAGGAATTCACTTTTTTGTTGAGTTTTTATTTTTTTTTTAAATGTGGATTAATAATTGTGATTCAAGGCAATTCTGTAGTTTGAAAAGTTTAAATGGACTACTATTTATAATTTTTATACTCATTATAATAGATTGGCCGATTGGAATAATTAGTTCGTTATAGTAAATTTTGACTCAAAAGCTTTTTTAATTCTGTAGATCCTGTAGCGAATCTTAAGACTTTTTTAATTCTGTAATTTTGTTGTAGCGAATCGTGACCTAAAGACCTTTTTTAATTCTTAGTTCTCGTTATAGCAAATATTAACTTTAAAACTTTTTAATTTTGTAGTTTTCGTTATAGCAAATCTTGACTAAAAACTTTTAATTCTGTAGTTTCTTTATAGAAAATTTTAACTTAAAAACTTTTTTTAATTCTATAGTTCTCGTTTAACAAATCTTAACTTAAAGACTTTTTTATTTTGTATTTCTCGTTATAACGAATCTTGGCTTAATAATTTTGTAGTTCTCGAAACTCCTGAGTTTCAAGATCTTCTAAATTCAATTTGAGATCTTCAAGGATCTTCTCTGAAACTGAAAAACCACTTAAACAGTATCTGCTAATTTTCATGCCTTTTTTTGAGGCTTGAATTCAAAAAATATACTTTCGTTATAGTGAAGTAATTGGACTGTGAAATTTTCTTTATTATATTGAAAGTCTATTAGTAAATTTGATTAAATTCACTATATCAAGAGGGTTTTTATATAAACTGTTCTTCTTTATACTTATATCAAGAGTTTACTATAATGAGAGTAACTTGTAGTTTTAGATGATAGTTCAAAGTTAAATAGACTATTATTTATACTTATAATCGATAATTTATAAATTATAATTTAATAAATTATTTGTCACGGATTATCGTGAAATTGGATCATCGTGAAATTTAGATTTATTTTATATACGATTTTTAAAATTTT